CATTGTTAAAATGAGGAAACTGGGGTTTAAAAAACTTTTTTTTTTTTTTTTTTTTATGTTTGAGATGTATATTTTTTTTGTTTCTTGTGAATTCATGCTACTAATAATACTAGTACTTAATAATAATGGCTACTAGTATTTTAGTTGAATTATTGCAAAACGGTTTTTGCCTGCAATAAATCTCATGGTGTTCTCTGGTATTAATGTCTCTAAATAAATTAGGATATATATATGGCATAAAAATAATTTTTTTCAACCGTATTATAAAAGTAGAATGGTTGGGTGTGCTGTGGTGGCTCAGGGGTTAAGCACAACCCACATATGGAGGCCTTAGTCCTCGACGCAGCTGTCGCAGGTTCAATTCCCGGCCTTGGCGACCTTTGCTGCATGTCTTCCCCCTTCTCTCATTACCCACTTTCCTGTCAATTAACTATCAAATGAAGGCCACTAGAATAAAAAAAATAAGTAGAATGGTTATTGATGTAGAAGGTGTGCACTCCACCCATCAATATGGTTATCATCCAGTCATCATTTTTATAGACCTGCTAAATCTGTGTAAGAACAAGGTAGGGCTGGCTGTTCCTGACAGAGTGGGTGAAGATGCTGGGTTTACCCCAGACAGGTCCATCACAGGGCAAAGCAGAGATAAGCAGAGGCGTCCTCACCATCAGGGTGAATCAGAGTGATCAATAAACCTGACATGCATGGTATTGGACTGTGGGAAGACCCTTTGCACGGTCTGGGCTAGGATAAACCCAGGACCTCCTTGTTCCAGGGCAACCGTGCTTACAGCTGTGCCTGTTTGCAACCCAAGTGTTATCAAAAAAAGAATAAAATGTATGATTAGTTTATTTACTTTTGAGGTCTCATAACTCTAGCATAAAGTCTGAAATATGTCAGGAAACAGAGATGGGCAGAAGCAGTAAAAGAAATCCTCCAAAAGGTGAGATAAAACAGTTGCATACCCTGGAAAGAGAAATCTAAAATCCAGAATGGCGTAGTCATTACAACAATGACAAAATGAACAAAACCCAAATATTTTCAGTTTGTTGTTATTTCAAAGCTTCTGTTTGGAGAAATGCAGCCAGCTTTGAACTTTTGGCTGGAAGTCATTCAAAAAGTAAGGGTGCTAAAATAATAATAATAATAATAATAATAATAATAATAATAATAATAATAATTAATAAAGGTTTAAAAAGTACAAATTAGTATATACAGTTAAGGTCAGAATTATTAATCCCCTTGATGAAATCACACAAAACTTATACTTTCATGGAAACAATTATAATAAAAACTATTCATACTTTTATGGATTCTAAATGAACAAAGACAAAATCTCCACAAAGTTTTATAAGTAGATTTTTCTGATGTGCTGAATTCTAACAAGAAAACTGAAAAATGACAATGCCACGTTATTAGCAGTGCTCTGCTTTCTTTGCTTCCAAGGTAAATCTGACCATTCAGTTAGCTTTAAAACCACCTGACCAAGTTAACTATTTCTACCTATTTCAGCCTACATCTCAGCCTTGTAACTCACACCACACCTGAGTATCCAATCAGCATTGACCCTTACATAGTTGGAAGGACAAGGCATTACTCTGATACTTCTGGTAAGAAGCAAATTCATCATTCAAAAAGAAAAAAAAAATAGTCTGGACTTCAAAAAGAGGATAGACACTTATCATGAGGGTGAAACCACCAGGTGTTTGCTAACTGCTGCTGGTTAGTCTGAAGGAGCTGAGTGGTGGAGTAGCAGCAGAGGGCTCCGTGAGGTGGAAGCTGGGATGCTGCAGCTCTGAGGAGGAGCTACGTCTGGGTCCAACCAGGAGTTTTGGATAGGTGAACAATTACCATGGGAGATTAAATGATTTCTAACGTTTCTAACACTTCATTGGAAACAAGCCTTACTGCAGGCAATGAGGGCCAAGCTCTGACAATGGTTACAGCCTGTATTGAAAGACCTGGTACCCCATACTCCTGGAGTACCCCCCCACACTCAACCAAGTGCACAAGACACATGTAAACTGGTTGGGTGAACTCCCAGGGACCCTCTAGGACCCTGCTGAGGGTGTAGAGCTGGCCCAGTGTTCCACAGCCAGGATAAAAACCTGTAAAACTGTTCAGCCAATTCTTCTGAAAAGAATTTCTAATTCTGTTCAGAATTTCTTCTGCAAAGAAGAGGAATTCTTCTTTGCAGTTCCAACAATTGTGTGAAAATAAATCCTTCATTTACTTTCTTGCATTTGTTTCGCATGTTTACGCTAGCCTACCTAAAATGACATATCAATAATTGTAAAAGTTTTGGCCAGCATTTTGCAATTATTTGTGGTCAAATTAAGTCAAATTCTAACTGCAGCTTTTGTTTCCTGGTGTAAGATCCTAGAGAAGCTCAGCCTTCTAAACACGGTTCTCAGTCAGACGTTTGCACCAGTTGATCTAAAATCCAGTTGATTTTGAACACTAGCTTCTGTTAAATCTTGAGACACTTGTGGATGTCGTTTCAGGTATTTGACAGATGCAGATAACTCTGAGTCAGGACTCATGACCTGGTTACAAGTTCATCTGTGCCCATCAGTGATGTCTGTGACCGCCCTCCTGCGATGCACCACTAGGTAATACTTAGTATGGTTTTAGATTCTCTCCAGGAAATCAGCATCGTTTCAAAATCCAGACTCTGGGAATCTGTCAGCATCTTATTTTGTAGGACTCCCTGCATGTACCAGTGAAACCAAGGGCGTAGGTTCGGTCTAAGTTTTGGTGGGGACCTTGGTGGGGACCTTGG